CGAGGCCTACCTCCGGACGCGTGTCAAAACACAAAACTACAGTGGATAACATTTCACATCCGCATCCCAGATTTTGAACGAGACTATAAATAATCTTTGTCGACACAGAATTTTCGTCCCGTGCTGAGGACACACGCAGCAAGCCGGAAGGGTCCGCTCGATAGAGCAGATTCGCCTAGCTTCAGCGCAAGGGTGGTCGATCCTGCGTACTCCTTCTAAGACGTGCCAGTTAATTTAACCCCGTAATTGACAAGGAGAGAAAGTTCATCAGTAATTAAGGGCGAAACTTGCCGGTGTTGCCAGACGGTCCTGAATGTGCGGCTATGAGAGCCAATATGAAAGAAGATCGACTAAATAGTCGATTCCAGCATATTCATGAGAATAAATCGGTTAAAGCTCATTGGGTTGTATAAGAAGAATCGGTTATCATTCACTCCATCCAGGGCAAATATCATTGATCGAACAGATATTAATCAATGGCAATAAGATGTCAACAATGATCGGTTTGTGCTGAGCCAATGATTATAAGTAACTGAACCCCTTTTATAAAAAGAAACAATTCAACACCATTTAACCGTTTGATAAAGATAAATCTAATGAACATGTTAGATCTCATCTATCGCTATGACCAGTGGGGCATGAGGCAGAATCATGCAGGCCGTAGAAATAACAATAGACTCGACGACCCTAACTCATTACTAATATTAGTGGGGCATGAGGTAGAATCATGCAGGCCATAATACAATAATAAAATTATGGGGCTAACATATCTTTCAACCTATCTTTACTTCAACGGTCTCACTCACAAATGATTTAATAGCCGCGGGTATCAACAAATATATATATATATATATATATGAACTAAATATACTAACAGATAGAGCACAATTTTTGGAACCTAACAAAATTGGTTTCACAATTTTTTAGACATCTACATGATTTTATATGATTTACCAAAGTTTAGCTCAGAATTACAAATGAAAAGCTATTTCTATTTTCCACGAAAAATCTAAACCGATTTCGGCCCACGCGGCGCAACCCGCGCTCGTGCGAGCGTGCAGCGGCCCACAGGCGAGGCGCGGCCCACGCTTGGAGGCGGCCTGCGCGCGCTGGCACATATGTAAAAACGCCCCTGGACTACGAGCAAACACAACCCGCAGTCCATGTTACTATTCCTATAGACAGCACTTATACAAGAGAACCATCGAATCTTTCTCCTCTTTACAGCGGTGAGGCCCTCGGCCATCCCCGCGTGCTCCAGCGCGGCAAGAAGTGGCACAGGCGCCTATGCCGGCCACGCGGAACCCCCGTTGACCTAGCTACGAGGCCGACGCTCACCTAGGGTTCGACGCGAGACGATGGGCGACGGTTGTGCGAGCCAGGACGCCGTAGAAGGACCTCTCCATGACGGCGGACACCCTGCGGCCATGGCGATGGCGTTCAGGTGAGCCACAACAACAATCAAAGCAGTAGGGCAGCGGGTGAGCAACGACAACTCATCGGTGACCTTACCAAGAAGCCGGCTCGGCCGGAGACAACCCGAAAGAGGTTGGCCGCGTGCGCGCGGCCATGCGAACGGCGGACCGCTAAGGCACGACCGTGTCAGCGGTGAGGAGGCGGCACAAAAGCTGCGACTAGCGTGCGCACGACGAAGAGGAAGCCAAGGCGAGCTAACAGTGCAAAGGAATTGGCGTGGGATAAAGTGATGGAGCCTGGCCACGACGCAGGCGGCGACGAGCCTTAACAGCACGGCAGCGGCAAGATTCCAAAATTAGAGCTTGGCACGACGCGAGTCAAGGCGGGGCGGGGTCGGATGGAGAGGGGGCGTGAAGGCAGAGACGCAAGCACGAGGAATTGATGAGAGATGCTCGCTCCCTGGCTTCACAGCGAATCGACACGCTGACAGCAGAATGCAGAGGGAGGGAGAGACGAGCGCGGCAGTGGGTTCGGCTCGTCCACGCCTTGGCAGGACGCGAGCGGTGGGCCGAGAGGCCCACGCGCCGTAGTGCCATAAATGGCAAAGCGACGGTGGCGCGCACGGCCACGTGCGGGCGGCACCCAACCGAGCTAGGGAGGGGTAGCACGATGCAATACGCGTACTGGAGCGACACGACGGCAGCGGCAGCGTCACGATGTGAGGCAGCAGTGGCGGACGTGACGGTAGCGCAGCGCGGGACGGGGCAGGGCAACGACGGCGTAACGGCGCATGGCTGGGAGCTTGCGGTGGGGTAGTAGCGCGACAGTGAGGTGGGACAGCAGCGCGCTAGGGCTGTCGGCCACAGCGGCCAGCCGAGCGTGGCCAGGCACGCGCGCAGCCGGCCGACGCGTCGACGTCGTGGCTCAGGGGCGCGGTGACCGCGCCTCCGAGAGGAAACCGATCAAGGACGTGCCATGCACGCTTTTTAAAGCGTCCAAAACAAACAATTGGTTGGCCAAACACCCAAATCATCTTCACTATACTTTAGAAGGTATATTAGGCTACTAAAACAGACCATGACACTACTCTGCTTCTTAACTAATCTTTTCTACAAAAATTGATGAACAAAGCAATATCTACCCTCTCCAAAGTTCAAGAAATTTTCTAAGTTCTGAGTTAAACTCTATTTTCAAATTACATTTCTAAGCTATTGGAAATCTTAGCTAGTAATATCATTTTTCGACCGCAGTTATTTCATTGTCATCTACAAAGTTTGTACTTCAAACTTTATTCAAGTATCACATATATGTTCTATAGTATTTTTGCTTAATAAAAATTAGTTTTAAACCCTAAGTGATATAACATGACTCTAGAATTAACTTTCATTTCGTATTTCCGTAGATCGTTTTGAGTTACGGAAATTGATCTACACACTCTATTACATACATTAACACATAAACATGATGCTCATGACATGTTTTAGTAAATGATTTACGGTGTAACACCGATGGTGTTATAGACATGGGATTCCAGCAAGCTGTGGTGGAGCACGCGTGATGGGCTCGGCGAGCTCGTCGATGGGTTTGCTGGTCTTTTTTTTGTTTTTTAATTCATTAACCGAGGCGGACATTCCAACCATCTTCGTAGTTCTTTGATTAACCGAGGCCTTTGATCGGAGGCGGGTGGAATGCCCGCCTCGGTTAACTGTTTTTGACTGCCTCGAAAAAGCTATCTGTAGTAGTGCCTCGACGTACCCCTTAATCTGCTATACGTACGTGCAGTCACTATGTAGTGTATACTCTCTACAACAGGCCGGAGTACGTAATCCAGTACAGCCACAGCTAGTAGCTCGGCGTTGGTTAAGCCCAATGCCCCAATCCCGCACAACCGGCACCCCCGTCCGTCCCCGCACGCATCGATCATCTTGTCTTGTCCCTGAGAAGGACGCATTGGACGCCCGTCGGGTCAGTGGTGGTGGGAGATGGCGGCAGGCGCGTCGGCGGACGGCGGAAAAGCTTGCCGGCCGCTTGCCGTGGCGTGACCAACAGACGATGCAATTAGACACAAATTAAAGGCACTCTGCTGCTCTCCGTTATTTTCACGGCTATTTATTGGGTGCGTTTCTGGTATACCTACTTCGAGGAGAGAGCGACGTACCAGATTTTAAAATGGTCATGCCTACGATGCAAACAACCACAATAAAAATCTTTGCCAGACAAGAATGATTGTCGTCTAATAGCCTTGGCATCTATAAGACTATGCCCTTGTTTAGTTTGCAAAAAGTTTTTCCAAAAAGTGCTACAGTACCCGTCACATCGAATCTTGCGGTACGTGCATGGAGCATTAAATATAGACGAAAATAAAAACTAATTGCACAGTTTTGTTGGAAATTGCGAGACGAACGTTTTGAGTCTAATTAGTCCATGATTGAACACTAATTACCAAATAAAAACGAAATTGCTACAGTAGCCAAATTTCGCACTTTTCGCGAACTAAACGCGCGCTATAAAGTAGTTTTTGCTCTTGCTTTTTTTTAAAAAAAAATGAAAGTTGATTTTCTGATAAGAACGGTTGTTTTTCCATAAAAAAGTGTATTCATGCTCACGGCCAATCCAATCCCCCACCGCATCAGGTGCTGCGCCTGCGGCATGCTTTGCCTTTGCTGCTCGCTGTGTGCCCACTCCCAACCCAAGCCAAGTCCCACCACTGCCTGCCGCTTCGGTCCAGCACTGGCGCTGCCGCTGCCGCTGATCCAGTCCAGCGCATGGGCAGGGACAGGGCGGCTCCTCCAATCACGACCATTATCACCCTTCCCGCATCTCAGGTGTGTTTAGTTCCCACCCCAAAATTCAAAAAAGTGCTACAGTATCTATCACATCGAATCTTGCAATACATGCATGGAGCATTAAATGTAGACAGAAAAAAAATCTAATTGCACAGTTTGGTTGGAAATTGCGAGACGAACGTTTTGAGCCTAATTAGTTCACGATTGAACACTATTTGCCAAATAAAAACGAAAGTTCTACGGTAGCCCAAATTCCAAAATTTGGGCAACTAAACACGCGCTCATTTCAGGCAACATTTGCCACCCCGCCTTGCTGACCTGACACCTTGCCTATTCAAGGGTATTCATGCAAGAGAACGTTTGGAATGGTAGCAGGCTCATGCTCCTTCTGCGCTCCTTTTATTCAGCACAGCAACACACACACACTTCAGTGTTCAGTCTCAACAACAATATTTACACAGCGCTCAACGATTAATTACTGTGTTACGCAGCACGACCGCAGGCTCTAAAAGCAACTAGAGAGAAATCAACAGACTAAACTGCGGTGAGAGATCCTAATCTTCTATGTGACTTTCAGAAAGGAAAATGAAAAGCAAACAAACAGGGTGTGATGAAACAGTCTACCAATACTATGTCCTTCAGAATTATAGGCTCCATATGGAGAATCAGCATCCAATTCTGCACACGAAGGGAAGCTCGAGGCAGCCGACTTCTCTGTCGACGTAGATGACTGCCACCAATGTGATGGGATGCAATGCTACTAGCTCTTTATGCTCGATCCATGTAAGCCTTGCCGTTTCAGATGTCTGCATGGTCGACGGGGACGACAGAGCGATGTTGGTTCGGCATCTCTTGGCTCTCCAGGGGCATGTACTGAGCCATGATCGCACGGATCTCTGAGTCCATGTAGCTCTGGGGATAGTACGTACGACAGGAACAATGAGTCATCTCTTCTTAAGCTCAATGCATAATCTCTACCAAATAAACCAAAAAAAAATGCAGGTGGAGTAAACTGTAAAATGAAGGGTGGGTGGGTGCATTGTTTTACCCGTAGCCTGTATTTGTACACGGCGTATGCTCCTGCTCCAGCCAAGGCAAGGCCGAAGAAAATCACCCATAGGAAGCCCCAGCCCAGGGACGAATTAGACTGTTTGCCTGCAGCATTAAGGGTCACATTACTACTTCTGCTGTAAATAGTTTGCCTCTCCATTTGAGAAGACTGAGGTGAGGAGTCCTGATGACAGAGGTGTCAGGTTAGATGACTCACTGATACAGGTATCATGCTCTCTGATGTACAGCAAATTGCTGCCACCACAGCTGCACTCGTAGCTTCCCCATGTGTTCTCACAAGCGCAATCCTTGCACTGGCAGAAAAGTTTCTCTTTGCATTCATCGACATCTGCAAATGGCAAGCAGAAAGGGGTTGCATGAAAGGAATCAGGAGGCTGAAGTTGTTGCCAGCTCGGAGCCATCATTGTGTTGGATAAATTGACAGTGATAGCTCTATTGGAGGATTTTCTAATTTACTATATCGAATATCATTGGCGCAAGCACAACTACCAGTCTAGCCAGGTGCAAAGGTATTATTCTTTTCTTAAAAATAAAAGAAAAGGCCCTAGTCTTGCAATATACTCAACGTGAAACATATTTCCCACAATGATAAGCTGATGGGCATATTTCGCACAATTATGCTAAGCTGTAGTTGCAAATGAGCACATTATGTCAGAAACTCAACGTGAACATTGCCCACAATGCTGTAGAGCAAACTTTTCCTCCCCAATAACACTAGTACCTTCACAACTGTTCACTCCATCACCCTTGAAACCTGATGGGCATTTGCAGCCTTTAGCTTCTTGATTCTGTAGAGTTCCAGAATTAGTTTTTTGCTCCAAACTGCAGCCACAAGCAAAACTGAAAACTAGAAGATATCTGAAAGAGGTTATCTTACTGAGCAGGCAGAGACAGTCTTCCCGTTCCTAGTCTCATTCCAGCAGCCCCATTGTTGATCTGGCACCTACCAAGACCAGAAGCTGCCAAAGGCATGCCAATTAGTATAGTAGCATGATTGGAAAAACTAGGTTCAAACTTAGACCTTATGAGAAAAGATGGTAAATGTGAAAGTATTACCTTCACAGTGGCTATACCCATCGCCTATAAACTTTACACCATTGACAATAGGGCACTCACAAACACGACCACGGAAGGTATCCTACAATATAAATCTAAACAAATTATAAATGTGTACTCAGTCGTGAACAATGATGAACCCCCACCCCCACAAACCCCACAAAAATGTAAAATTGTACCTTGCACGCAGAAACATTGGTAGCCTTGTCTAACCAGCAACCTCCATTATTCTCCAAACATTCATTTGTCTCAATATCTGCAAAATAGAGAAGCCACCCCACAGAAAAGGAATGCAGCTTCAGAAGAAGTCCAGGTACAGTTCTTTAACAAAAAGGGGAAATCTCACAAACCTTCGCGCAAACAGACATCAGGTTCAGTTGTCTCCTCAAATCCCGAGCATACTGCTTTTAGCACAGATCTTTTTTCCAGTTTACCTAAAGGGAAAAATAAAATGATGGCATAAACGGTGTTGAGGCATACAAGACTAACTGTACATGATGATATGGGCCATACCTCTGTATTGTCTGTTATTGACGACAAGAGTAGGCAGTATAGTTACATCGCCACGAGAACCATGCCCAATCTAAAGGATCGAAAGCATAAAGATCACCCAGCCAAAGAACAAACTGAAAATATATGGAAGGAACCCCTGACAATCTAATGGTTTATCTTACTTGAGCATCCTGTTCTGCTTTGAGGACTGGATTTTCTTTATCAGCGTCAGGATCTCCAACGCACTTGTTGATTTTCTCAATGTCCAATCCTATAGAAACAACAGATGAATAAATTTACAGCAAAGATATCTTCATTTTTTTCGTATATAATCAAGTCACGTGGATAAAGTTTACAAGACCCCACCAAGTGAATTGATAACACCATGTGCACATTCACGTGTGTATTTCTTCTCCTTCATTGGGCACCTAACAGCAAAGTCGTGCACATAATCCCACCACATCCACGGCCTGCGAGTTTCATTGGCAACTCTGAACACGCAAATTTGAATCAGGTTCTGAACCACAACATCTTTGCCGTCATATCCAATGCTGAAATCCTGCTCTGGGTCTGGTGCGCAATATCTCCCATGATTGATACATTGTGACTTGCACTGTTTGCTCAGGATAAAGGCTTCTGGACAATACCATGTGATATAGTGAGGGGTAAACTGGGTGTAACCCCTTTTCTCAAGGGCCTGCGCTATTCCTCTGAAACTCCTCACGAAGTTCATTTGCATGTCACACTTAGCGCCGCATTCATCATTGCTGTTTGTCCAGAACTCATACTCCACACGCTCATCAGGATGGGGCAGAGATTCCCTCCAGTCCAGAAGAACATTCACCATCTCTCCATTTTGCAGTGCTTTCCTGAGGTCATCTCCAAATCTCTTGGTCACAAGTGCCGAAGGAATTGTGATGTTCTCTATGTGCTCTGTGCCACTGGATTCTGGAGAATCCATTGTGATCAAAGGCTCGACTTTGTCGTCGGCAACAAGAACTCCTGCAGCTCCAGCATTTTGTGCATTCCATCCCTTGGTTGTGAAGTAGCAGTCTGCACACCACAAGCGACTCTACAATTTCAATTTCGAAAAACGCTCCAAAAAATAAAATTTCAATTAATCTTAGAAGAAAAAATTAAAGGAAATGAATATGACTCAGGTATCAGTTGTAAATTTTGATGACACAGTTCAATCTATTCTTATCACAAGAAAGAGAAGAATCTTTATGGAATGATATAGAACTAAACAACTGGGACAAGCAAAGCCTCAAACTAGGTCTGAATCTTTCTCCAAACATACTAGCTGTCCAAGAAAAAAAATTAACGAAACCTTGCACTGTCAGTGTCAGCCATGTAAGACAATTCAAAGAAACAAGTGCAGTGCTACCTGGGTGGGAGCGGATTCCATTGTGAATTACACGCAGATAGTACCAACTGACACAGGAAAGTAAATATTAAAAAACCACGTACTGTTTCTGCAAATAAAAAGAATGTGAAAAACTTTTGAAAAAAGCTTTTTGTGCCTAAGCCTCTCTGACAAAGACTTGCGTTAACCTTCGGACCACGAAGCTGTGTGCCCCCAAGAACACGAGTTCAGACTGAACCCACTGGACAAAGACTTCCAAGTTCGAGCCAGATCATTCGAAATTAACACGTGCACTGCAGTATATCTTAAAGTATTGATCTCGTGGTACAAATATGCATGTTGCTAGTAGCTCGAGAGGACAAATGAGACGCGAAAGCACACGTAATTAATAACAAAACCAAATAAATTACCGGTGGACATTTCTCCAGTGGCATGTGCACAGAGAATTCTATGTTTAGTTAATCTAATCTCCTCATGGTAGATTATTCAATCAAATCAAAGAAATAAAACGGAAGAAAGAAATTAAAGGTAAATGTAAGGGTGATGGATGGCCGGATCACCGTACCTCCGCGATCGACGAGCAGGAAGACGGGCAGGCCGCCGGGCTTGGGCTTGAAGGAGAGGCCGGAGTCGTCGAAGGGCCTGCAGGCCTTGGCGTCGGCCTTGGGGTAGACGACGACGCCGTGCATGGTGCCGCCGTACTGCGGCATGCCGAAGTTGCCGATGGCGCACTCGTAGACGCCCCGGAGCGCGGCCGGTGACGTGACCCGCAGGCTGTTCTTCTCCACCACGAACCGCGCCGCCGCCCGGTGCGCCGCGAGCGCCAGCGCCAGCGCCAGGAGCAGCAGCCGCCGCCGCCTCGCCATCGCCGTCGTCCCCATGGACACACGACAGGATCCGAACCTTGTTGGTTCGTTCCGGCCGATCGATCAACCGATGGACCTACTATACCAAGAAGAAGTGGAAATGGGATGGGTTCTGGGAGCCGAGAGCGAGCGAGGGGCAGGCAGGCAGGCACCCTTTCCGTGCGGCTTGGGTGGCTTCAGGACAAGAAAAGGCGAGGCGAGGCTTTTGCGGACGGGCGCGGGCGCAACGACCATGGGCAAGGGACCTGCGGCCCGTGCGGCCGTGCCCGGGGGACGTGGCGCTGCGCGGTGGGAGGCTCTCACTAGGAGGGGTTTCTTGGAACGCTTCCAAGTTCCAAGGCAGCAGCTGCTGCACTCTGTCTCTGCAGCACACCGCGGGACGGTTACGGTGGCGGTGGCCACTGGCGAGCGAGCGAGGAGGTCTCGTGTCGTGCGCCAGCTTGCTTTGCGTGGGGTTTCGGGGACCGGGCCGCCTTTACGTTCCGCGGCAGCAGCTTGGGGAATGGAGATCCTCGGGGTCAAGTCGACAGTTCCTTACGTCCACAACCGTCAGCATCGATCCCTCTTTGTGCTCGTGCTATAGCTTCGGCCGTTTTATCTACAACTCCATTCTAAAAAGAGTGCACTTATACGGGCCATGGAATTTCTGTCAACCAAGACGCGGCGGAGGCTTATCTATATCTAAATTTATATATATAACTATGCCTACTAATAAAGTGGCAAAAAAATTTCGCATTCCCTTTTGGCATTCCCTTCCTAACTCAGCTCCCGGTCTGTGACTCAGGCACAGACGAACCACAGCTCGCCTCACATGTATACCACCGTAAATTCGAGTACATTCTGAAAGACAGGGGATCAACTAGATATAGATCTAGTGGTTACAACTTTACATACAAGATAAAAACTTTTTAAAATATAATCTAGAGAGAGAGAGAGAGGAAGGGAGGTGATATGTCACCGACCATCCGCGGGCTTAGAGAAAAAACTCGACGTAGTCATGGCGAAGGTGATGCGGTCTGGGTCGATGGTGTCACGATGACGATGTTGATGTCAGTCGCAGTGCAGTGGTGACGTAGAGACAACAGTGAAGAATGCAGTGGAACTTCCCGTCGCTGGCTGTGCCCCTCATCTCTCTTTATAGCTCGTACTGAGAGCCGCTGGCCCCCACCTCTCTTTACAGCGCAGTGCGACGGGAGCCCACCAACCATGTAGGGTTGGGCGTCCCCGATCAAGGCGCGAGGTCAAGGCCCAACTCGGTCATTGGGCCGAGCTAGAGAGATCAACACTAACAATCTCTCCCTTGATCTCATCTTATTACTTAAACTTAACTTACTTTATCTTTTTCTCATTCCATCACAGATCAGTGCATGGAGCGTGCCTCATCGTCACGGTCAGTGCCATTAGATTAACAGCTATAATACCCTCTCTATTTTGAAGCAGATTCTCAACTAAGCCCTTATTGTTTAGGAATTATATGCTTTCGCTTAAACCCATGCCGGCTAAATGTTCTCTGAACACGTTAGGTGGTAAGCCTTTTGTAAGCGGATCCACGAGCATCTTTTCTGTACTTATGTGCTCAAGACTAATTATATGATCCCAGACTTTGTCTTTCACAACATAATACTTTATGTTAATGTGTTTGGCAACACCACTTGATTTATTGTTGTGAGCATAACATACTGCTGGATTATTATCGCACTATAACTTGAGTGGCTTATATATATCGTCTACCACTTTCAACCCGGACATAAATTTCTTCAGGCAATTTACCTACCCTGTGGCCTCATAACACGCTATAAACTCGGTATACATTGTAGACGATGTAGTGACGGTTTGCTTGGAGCTTTTCCACGATATAGCTCCTCCTGCAAGAGTAAATATATATCCTGACGTGGACTTTCTATCATCTCCCGCATAATCTGAATCTGAATACCCCTCTATGGGTAGGCAATCAGATCTTCTGTACGTTAGCATAAGACATTTTGTGCCTTGCAAGTAACGCAAAACTTTCTTTACCAGTCTCTAGTGTTCTATTCCTTACAAGTAACGAAGCTATGCGCAACAGCAATCACCCCACCTGAGTGATCTCTAATTACAACTCCTGTGCTTCCACACCCCACATCATCATCAAATGATGCATCAACATTTACCATGATCATTCCTTCTGGAGGCTTTCGCCACCCGTTGCCTTCCTTCTTCATAGACAATTTATAGTTTCTAGTTAGAGCAGCAGTCTCTGAATATTTTCACTGTGGACATGTCGTCGGCGCTCCCACCAGATGTACCAGCCCCTGGTCAATATGAGATCCGTAAGACCAACGTCCATCGATCGATTTTGTTCACCCTTTCGGATTCCTCCTCCAGGACTACCAAACCAGACCAGTCCACAACTAGGAGCCGAGCGATCGACTCCCAGATGTCGAGCGCCCTCCACACTTCCTTCGCTCTATCGCACACAAAGAGAAAATGCTTAACGTCCTCCGCTCCATTCAAACATTTAGGGCAGCCCCTCCCGTGTTTCCTATATGTCGGTTTGCAAGAATTGCCTGGAATCAATCCGTGGAGAGCTCTCCATCCGAAGATCTTAATCTTCCCCGGAACCTGCAACTTCCACAACTTCTTCCACACTTGACGTCTTCCTACACCGCTAGCTTGCATAACATAGTGTCTCCACCCATATACATCCTCCCATTGGCAGTGATATGCTGATCGGACTGAGAATAGTCCGTTCCTGTTATATTGCCAAGCCACGAAATCCTCCCTTCCGCTAGTGATAGGAATTTGTAAGATCCTAGCTGCATCAACTGCCCAAAAGATCTGACTTCACCAAATCCTCGTCCCATGTTGCATTAACTGGATTTATAAGCTCTGATAATATCATTACCTCTCAGCGTTAAGAGTCCTCATGGAGGTATACAATCTTGTCTTGCGATCGCAACTCTGACTACGGGTTTCTACCAAAATTTGTTTTGTAAATAAAAAAAGAAAAAAATACTTTAACTACAACAACCATTGTTTTCCTATAAAACTCCACAAACATCCTTTAGCATGCTGAATATACAGACTCATAGTCATAAATAGCAAAAGTTCACAAGGATCAAACTACAGACAGCCCAAATGTAAGGGAATTGTTTTACGTCGATAATGATTGAAAGGCAAGCAGCATTATTCGACAAGATCTTAGGAAGACGGTGATGGGAACATTGGAACATGACATCATGGTCAATTTTAATCAGCTAGATATATTGGTGGATCAATTTATACGGACACAGTGACTGCACAAAATACAATAATTAGGCACAGGTTTTAAACACATGCATCTTGGACCAATATTTTAGAAATGCCATCAAGATCATATAACACAGTTGAACCAAGCAGTTTCTGTGTGATGAAAAACAAGTCAAATGATCACTCCCCTCATGAGGATTACATGCAAGAGGAATGCCTACATCTGAATAAAAACAAACAAGGAAACATGAGGGGGTCTCATTATTTGCTGAGTTATCCAAGTTCTCTTCAATCAGGAATCATCACGGACAAAAGTGGTGTATCAAAGTTGCAGTTGCAGACTTGCAGCCTTTTATGCCTGGAGACTCATGCCTCTGGTTCAGGTTTCTCAAAGAAAGTTTTCTTAATCCAGTCAAATGGCTGCAAAAGAAGTCCAAATTTTTTTTCAGAATCTCAGGTGAAAGAGGCACTAAACCAGTAGGGTACACAGCAAAACAGGAAAAGACCAGAATCGATTAAAGAAACTAAGACCTTTAACAAAACACAACAAAACAGGCACAAGGACATCAACATCCTCTGGTAACAAAGAATCAGGTGATTCAAAAGAATGGATGAAATAGAGTAAACCTCAAATGGTTTACATAAGTTTCAGGCCTCAGCACATGTCTCAACCCAATAGGGTGAGACGAATAGAGTTATTACGTCGCTAAAAGGAGGAAATCACCTTAAGGTGCCAAAGGAAACAACAACACAATTCAGCAACATTGCTATTGTTTCAGCTCCATGGTCAGTACAAACTCAAATGACCTACCGTAAGACATGCATTATCAGGAATACAGGTAACCTGTTGGTGAGACCTACAGTACACTTGTTTTCATTAAGAACACATATTCTTATTTCTCCACATATAATACACAGGTAAATAGCCCCTCGATAAGTTCCTCAAACATGAGCATATAGGCACAAGATTTAACATGGCTATAAAAAGAACCAGGTGATGCAAATCAAGAACCAGGTGAAAGCAAAATGATGCCACCACTTGACCACATAGGTCAACTAAGAATTTATATTACAATATCGATGTGTTACAAATTTCTAGTGGCAGGAATATTAATCAGAATTATGTTAAATTTCTGCCAAGTGGTAACAGAAATTTGTGTATTTTGCTAGACTACAGTCTACTATATCCTTGTCAAATACAGGTCTGCGTGATAATGACCTGGTATCGAATTTATGTCTACTTCAACATTTGCCATACCTTATTTATTGCAACGATTTTCTGATTCCTGAGACACATTTGACTCAGCAATTCCAATAGATAAATTTATAGCCTAGGCCATCACGAAAATGAGGGTCGTTCATCCTCTTCTACACCCATATTCATTAGATTCATTCGATCCAGAGGGCAAGTTTGACTAAGCAACAAGCATATCACAAGTCAAACCCCAATAGAGCGAACCGGGGTACGGATCCCTAAGACCGATCTAACATCCGCAGATCCAGACGAACCACGACGATCACACCACACGAGCATCACGGATCCGATCTGCAACAACCAAACCCTAACACCGATGCAGCAAACAATTCCACAGATCAAGGAAGGGCTAGGCCTACGAGCCTTCTACCCGAGCGAGCCACGGTCTATACACCGGAAGAGCTAACGGCGGATAAGAGATGCGAGCAGGCCGATGGATCCTGACCTGGACGAGGTAGAGGGCGGCGGTGCCGGCGAATACTCCCCAGGAGGCGGCGGCCACGATGTCGGTGGACTGGGGTCGGCTGCGCGG